AATAATCGGCTCAGTCATTTTTAATGATCGTTGAAAGCCCAGATCGTAATCGTGATTAAAATTCGATTAATTGAGCAGCCCTACTTGCAGCATTCATATACATATGCATTATGATGTATGCTTTATAAATTAGGTTGTTTTTTTGTTTTTTTTAAAGAGATGCTGATGTTGCAAAGGTCCCTGTAGGCACCTTATTTGTGCAGTCTCATGACAAGCAGGAAGGAACACAGTATCCCTCTTTCACACAAAGCCACCCCATCACTCACTCACATGCAGAATGAAAAATTAAAAGACCAATGTCTCACCTGGTCGTCCACTCTGTGGGCCACGATTGTAGCCCCCTCCTCCTGCTCAGCATCGCTGAGGGGTCGGATTCTCAAGGCAACCTGCAGCAAACAGAGCAAACTCTGAATGTAATCAGCTTGGATATGTTCGGTTTCATGACATCATATCTAAGAAAATGACACTGACCGCACATAAGACAACATGTCTAAGGTTTTATCTGTAGTTTCAACTGAATTTTTACAAATGCTTTAATGTCACTTGTTAGAGTGCTTCAACAGAAAAGCATTTTATAAGAAAAAAAAAACTGGCTCATATATCAGATGCAGCGCACGCTGTGCTGATTTTGAACATTACAATGGTTTTGGGAATGAAGAAAGCAGGTGAGTAATGTTCAATACGGCTCAGGATTGGCTTTGTGCAGGATAAAAAAAAGAATCCCTCAAGATGAAATGTGACTTAGAATAATAAAGATGTGCGAATATAAGTAGGAAGGGGAACTATGATACACTGCTATATTGCATTAAGGGAGTTGTAAAAGATGTATCCTAGTAATAACCCAAATTCATGAAAATGAAACACATAAATTGCATGAGTAATCTTTCAAATGTCAAACACATTTTTTTCACCATTTAACTTAATAATTAGGAAAAATGCAGGATCTTCTAACTTTTAAGTCTTTTCTCTCTCACAACCCCAATTCAACCAGGGTAGGTAAACTGGAAACTCAAAATATCACTTTAAATGCAGAGCTGTCGTTTTAGAGTCTAAATTATGAATACTGGATGGCACTTGGCAGACACATAACAGCTTAATGAGTGGAGCATTGTAATACGACAGCATTATGCACATTCAGACTCCTACTGTTAGTCTAAATCTGTCTGCATGATTTAGAGATCAGCAGAAAAGCTCTGACTGAATTAAAACAGGATGAAAACAGAGTGTAGCAATACCAGCAGTGTGTTAGATCCACAGGGGTGGCACATGAGCTGCATTCATATGCATTCAAACAAATGTGCTACGACGTTCATGTATATAAGGGCTTTTATAGTGGATGTGGATCCACCTTGGATTCACCTAGGCAACAAATAGAAATAAGAAGGTCCTCTCTCTATCAGCACCATGTAGAAGGTGTATTACATGGGGGACAAGAGAGGCCGGGCAACTGAAACAGCCACTTCAATAATTCAGGTAAGGGCTGCAATGCAGGTGGTATAAAAGAAAATTGAACATTCACTATAAACGCCAGCAGCTTAAATGGTTAGGAATTCAAGAAGAAACCACTAGAAAGAAGAACAAGAACCTAAAAATAAACTATGCTTAGGCTAACTCCATGATGCCGCTAATATATTTTAGTTTAATTAAATTATATGTTTTAATGCCGAGCTCACTTAGGGGTGAATAGGATGGGGTTTTTTTGTTTGTTTGTTTGCTTTTTTTATATATAAAAGGTGGTATTTGGTATCCAGTGTGAAGCCACCTTTTAGTGCATATGCCATTCAACAAAAAATACAGGCATTTTTTAGGCAAACTTCACAGGACTGCAGCCTACAGGTGTACTCTAATGAAGTGATCACCGAGTGTTCAGTTAACTGGCAGAAAATTTATGAGCTTGTTTGTATTAAATGGTGATGGTTTTCTACTACTCACCAACAGAGCGAATTCATTTGACAAAGTTAATAAAAAAATATCATTAAAAAAAAGCATAGGTTGAAACTCACAGTTAGCTGGTGGTCCTTTGACTCTCCGGTGTCCTTCATGTTCACTTTCGGTCAGCCTGAAGGATAGCGAGCATCAACAGAAAACGGGGCACTGGACCATCCCGCTCCCCGTCGCTACCTGCATGCCACCTACTCTTTAAGAAAAAAAAAGCACCTGCAGCACACCGCATACACCTAACAACTACTAATATACCCGGGTTCTGCCTTTAATGCTCACTGGCTGTAGCTTGTCCGTAGTAACAAGCCGACTGGCGAGCTAACAATCTCTTCGAGTCGTTTTTACTCAACGACATTAGCTTTCCTACAACTACCGACCGACTCTACTCTCTCACTCGCTTCCTCTTTGTGTCCTCGAGAGCGCGTCGGTGGGTATCTTCCACGCAGCGGGTCGGGAAACACGGGAATAATTTAGCCAGACAAAGAGTTAAAGGTAGCGGCAGGTAACAGCAGCACCAGCAACAGCTCACCTGCTACTCGCACTCCTCTGTGTCTGTCCTCGCTCCTCTCGGCTCCGTGTCCTGTGTTTACGCGCGCGCGTGTCTGCGTTCGCGCGTGCTGTGTTGTCCCTGGAGATTCGCGGAACACCGGCAGTATCAAATCAGCTACTGTAAACACCAGTACATCCGATTATAAAATAAAACCCTCTAGTCCGGGTTTTCATTGCTTTGGGTGAATAAATAAATAAATAATATGGCATGGCATGTGTACTCCCAGTTTTCCTATCCTAGGCTACACAATGATTGTTAAGAAAAAATACAAACATAACCCTCTGTACCTTGTAAAAGTGCTTCATAGCAATCTGGGTCATATTAACATTTTATAACGCTTCTGAATTTCAAAAGGACAATAAAGTAGACAAAAAGTCACATTTAAACGAGCATTTATCAGTTATTGGACTGGGTGTGCCTTTATTATTAATTATTTTTAAAATAAATCTTTTGGAGAGGTTCTAAAACACCTTTAAAACAATGGTGAATATTTTTAAATGGCTGTATGCGTTTATCCAAACCAGTTATTGTGCATTCAGATAGATCTGTGATCCTAATATCACACATTTTACGGACACGAATAGTTGGAAAATGGTAACCTTTTTTAAATGTCTTTTTCTGTATGAAATACCCTTTCTGTGTCACTTTGCTGACATCTGGTGGAAATGTTATGCAATTACCGTTTCAAGACATACCGTTTCACCTGTATGGAGAAAAAAAACAGAAGAGAAAGCAAATAACAAAGAGCAACATAATAAAAAAAACAGCACCATCACAATAAACTAGCTAGCAGTAGATAACAGTAGATACTAAATAATAAACGATATTGTGCAGCACGCAAGACAGACAGCGCACAATGTGCTTTCAGGCAGCAGCCAAGAAAGGTGTAGTCCGCGTCTGTGAACACCTGTGTGTACACCTGTGTGGATCAGCATGCTTGTATTCCAAAGTTTTCTCCATGTAACGATCTGCTAGGGAGTGTGGGGAGCCATAGCCCCGTCCACCAGGGTATGAAGAAGGTATGGAGGAGATCCAGGCCCCAGATATCCAGAGGCCCCAGAGTACAAGGACCCGAGGAGGACCACCTCCTGGGAAGAGCTGAGTAGAGCCCCAAACGAGAGGTCACCCCGCAGCTACGGAGCAGAGGCCAGAGGGGGTTGCAGTGGCGTGCCCGCGGGCTCTGCCGGCAGCCAGCTGTGCCAGAGAGGACCAACCTTCAGGCCCAGAGGCCAGAGGCCTGAGGGCATCCCACCCCCCGGAAGGAGCCCAGCCGGGCCACAGGCGCCTGGCCCCGCCAATTGGCCACCAGGAGTGAGCCGGTACATACATGAGCGCCCAGCCCCAGATGACAAGGACCACCAACACACCAACGTCTGAGGGCAACGTCTCACCACAGAGTGTGGTGAGGGGAGATAGGCCTCCGTACTTTAGAGGGCCTGAGATGTACCCAGAAGAGGTTGAGTCTAAGACCCAACCTGACATATAGACACAGACGAACAGGCACACGCGGACACAAACGTGCATTCCCACCCCATATGCACAACCAAATACTCGGCACTCACCCAACGTGTAGACAGACACAAATAGACACTGCACAGACAGTCGCACTCCCAAACATACTCTATATTCCAGGTCCAGGTACCCCCGCCCTCAGAGGGGCAAGCCGCACCTAGGCCCAGGAGATGTAACCCTTCTCTCTGGGGTGGAGGCAAGCAGACCACCTCCTTATCTGCAGTAGCGGGGAGGCCCCGCATCCCAGACCCCAGTTTTTTTTTCTTTCTTCCCCCCCTTCTCACCATCTCTTCTCCCCTCTGTTTTTCTTTCTCTCCCTCTCTTTCTTTCATTCTTTCTCCCTGTCCTATCCCCCAGTCATGTCTGTCCCGTTTGTAGCAACCGAGAATAAAATAAATTGATAATTATAATAAAGGTCAATCAAATGGACCAATATGGCAAGGCCATGATGATCCACTTGGTAAAATAAATCCGCTTGGCATCTTTCTTGGCCTTAAGACAACAATTCTGGTGGCTAAAGATCCAAACGGGACACAAAACAACAACAACAAAAAAAACATACCGTTTCAAGACAACAAATACATAAAAGGGGGGAAAGGGAAAAGGCAGTTTAAAAATATAATAACATAAGCTGTTTTTACGACCACAGAGCGTGTTTAGAAAATGATTGGTAGTGAAAAAAACTTTAGATCTTTAAAACACTAAACTTCTGTAATATTTACTGAGATACCGTTTCCGCTGCACTCTCCTGACATCTGCTGTAGAAATTGTGCAATTACTATTTTAGACAATCAATTTCAAGCGGCTTAATGCTGGGGGAAAAAAGCCGGAAAATGAGAAGAAAGGGGAACATAAAATACCTACTAAAGTAAGTTGTTTTTACTTTCATAATTTTTACTTTTCTAAACAACCAAAGTAACCTATAGTCTTTAAAAATAAACAAATAAACCAAACCAAAAGAAGGTAACAGGGATATTTTAAACTAGAATTACCCTTTAGATCCCATTGTATAGTTCCACCAAGCAGTTAGGACTTCTCTAGACCTGATCTTTGGGATATAAAATGTCATTGTTTCGTCATTTCTATCGTCATTTTATCCTCTCGGATATTTGTGTGATATTTCCTCCTAAATCTGAATTCTAGGTTATTGGGTAAAAATATCTTCAGTCTTGCTATGCAGTGCTGTGAAAAAGTATCCTGTCCCTTATGTTTCAAATCATAAAACTAATTTTAATGTTGGATAAAGACAACATGAGTAAATACAAAATGTATTTTTAAATGATTATTTGATTCATTAAGAGAAAAATGCTATCTAACCCTACCTGTGAGAAAAAGTGATTTCGCCCTGACCCTTATAACTGGTTGAGCCACCTTTGCCAACAAGAATCAGATTTGTTAAATGACAAATTAAGTGTGTTTTATCACACTTTTTCTAAAGCTGATTTCAATTTCATGAGCTACACTCAGCCCTGATTACTGCCAGACCTGCTAAACAACAGTAAAATAAAATAAAAAAGGACCTGTTTGACAGAAGGAAGTAGGCTAAAAGATCTTAAAAAGCAACGAATCAGGCCGTGATCTAAAGAAACTCAAGAAAAGATGAGAAATAAAGTCACAGGGTTACAAAGACCTTTTTAAGGCTTTGGGGCTCAAGCGAACCCCGGCAACAGCCACAAACTGGTGTAAATCTAACAGGTTTTCATAAATAAATTCATAATGTTGATGATATGAAACATTTAGATTTGTGACAAATATGCAAAACTAAATATATAGAGCTCACTAAAAATGGGATAGCCATGTGCTCACAGCAACCTTCACATCTGACCTCAAAAAACCAAAATCGAATAATTTCATCACTGAGTACAAATGAACCCTGGTCCCTGCCTCTTCATCCTTTACTTGGGAAGAGTTGTACATATTTTCAGCAGTCTTTAAATATACTCAAGGAATCACTAGTTCATGATACACTAATTGCATGTGGATATGTTTCAGTTAAATGCACAGGGAGATCTTAATGATCTCAGGCACGAACACTCAAAAACAAAATTAAGACTCATCGCGTTGTACTCAAAGCTGGTTTATTCAATTTACGATTAGACCCTGAAGTTTGCGTACACATACACACACACGCACACACACACAAACAAAATTAAGCACCACTCTCTGTGCCTGTACAGTGCAACATGCTGAAACAAACACACAAAACGTATTAATGACACGGCATATATCCAATCCACACAGAAAGTCATCGTTAGTCGGTACAAACATGTATTGTTTGGATTGTTTGCTATGGTGAAAGTAATTACCTGGATTCATTAATCAGAGAGCAGCACAGCTTCCCGAATCACAATAGGAATGACGACTTTATTGGATTAGTTGGCTTAGATATACAGGGAGTATGAATTAATGGCCCATTAGAAAATACAAAAAATAGTGGTCCTATGTATTGCTGGACAGAACTAGAAAAAGTATATAAAAATGGCGCACAGTTTAAACATAAAACAGAATAAGACAACAATCTGTTATTTTACAACTTATTTACAGAAGCCATGGTCTCAAGGTAGTCTCGTCTCTGTAGACTCCTAAAGCTTCACTAGCAGGCGTGTTTGTGTGTGTGTGAGACTGCAAATAAATTATACTGCTCCACAAACTCCTGCTGTGTGCTGCCAGTGCTGGCTCTGTGCTTCACGAATATCACGCATGGAGCACACTACATAGAAAATAACGATGCATGAGCTATCGCGTTCACATCTTTTATCTTTGGAGACTCAAATATAAGATGTCAAAATTAGTACACATCTCCATTTCAAAGGCAGAGAGAGAGATCTCAACTGAATTTAAACTTTCTTTTTTACATTATTGGGAAACAACTTTTTTTTGTGTGGTTTTTTTATATGTTTAAAAGAGCGTGTGAGGGTATCAAAGGACAAAACAGATTAAGAGCTTGTTAAGTTTGACAGCACTTCTTGGAAACGTCTAGCACGTTCTCCAAGAAAGGATAGAAATGTCATGAATGAGCTAAAAGAACAGAGAGAAGATTACAGATATTGTTCCATTATCATTAGACTCCACACGCTGGAGTCCTGACTGATGTGAAGCCACACAGTTTCCTCTGTGAGTCTTCTATCAGCTGCATGTTGCTGTCTTGTAGATGGTATGCGATGCTGCTTCTCTCCTTGGGCAAACAGGGAAGTCTATGCTTGGAAGTCATTTCCAAAGTGTCTCCTCTGTTCTTCGGTCATGGACAGGTAGGTGGCCCTCATAGTGGGAGAGTACTATAGACAAAACACCAACACAGAGACATATATAGAGAATATTACAAGTCTGTTGTATTAGATTGTGGTGATGTAAACATGTAAAACTCATTTGTAATGGAAGAAAGTAGGGAAAATGGGCTTAAAGGAACAGTCCACTGAATATCTATCTTAATGTATCAAATTCACTCTACTGTGGCACTGACATGAGAAATGTTTGAGGCTCTCGACTCCCCTAGTGGGACTTAAAGCAGGGAAAGCATGGATGATCAGGTTAAAAAAAAACAGGTGAAGTGAAAC